GGGAAAGACCGGGAAGGTGTCGAGCAATGACCGGAAGGTTGCGGGAGAAGACCGGGAAGGCGTCGAGGAAGGACCGGGAAGGCGTCGCGCGAAGACCGGGAAGGCCCCGAGGGAAGACCGGAAAGGCCCCGGGAGAAGACAAAGAAGGTGTCCAGAAGGACCGGGAAGGCGTCGAGGAAACCGGGAAGGCCCCGGGAGCATACCGGGATGGCGTCGAGCAATGACCGGGAAGGTGTCGAGCAATGACCGTGAAGACGTCGAGCAATGAGGCGTTCGAGGAAGACGTCGATGACCCGGGACCTGCAAAAACGACCGGGAAAGGCGTCGAGCAATGACCGTTCCAAGGCGGAAGAGGTGTCTGACCGGGAAGGCTGCGGGGAAAAAACCGTCGAGCAAAGACCGGGAAGGCGTCGAGCATCGAGCAAATGACCGGGAAGGGGTCGAACAAAGACCGGGAAGAAAGACCGGGGGGCTGCGTGGAAAGACCGGGAAGGCTGCGGGGAGCAAAGACTGGGCAGGCTGCGGGGAAAGACCGGAAAGGCGTCGAGCAATGACCGGGCAGGGAAGGCGCCGGGAGAAGACCGCAATGACCGGAAAGGGGTCGAACAAAGACCGGGAAGAAAGACCGGGAGGGCTGCAGGGAAAGACCGGGAAGGGCAGGCGTCGAACAAAGACCGGGAAGGTCCCGGGAGAAGACCGGGAAGGCGTCGAGCAATGACCGGCAAGGGGTCGAACAAAGACCGGGAAGAAAGACCGGGAGGGCTGCGTGGAAAGACCGGGAAGGCTGCGGGGAAAGACCGGGATGGTGAGAGCAATAACCGGAAGGTTCCGGGAGAAGACCGGGAAGGCGTCGAGGAAGGACCGGGAAGGCGTCGCGCGAAGACCGGGAAGGCCCCGAGGGAAAACCGGGAAAGCCCCAGGAGAAGACAGGGAAGGCGTCGAGGAAGGACCGGGAAGGCCCGGGAGAAGACCGGGACGGTGTCGAGCAATGACCGGGAAGGCTGCGGGGAAAGACCGGGAAGGCTGGGGGGAAACACTTGGGCTGAAGCGCACAGTGCGCTTGCAGTAAGCACACTGCGTGCTCAGCACCAATCTCCAAGGCTCTGCTCGGACAGGGCCCAAGACCTTGCTGGCTGCGCTTGCCGGTTGCTCCCCCTGGCAAAGCCCTTACGAAACATCTTCATGCCGACCTCTCACCTGTGACGCCTGGTCTCGGTCGGAGCGTCGAGGAAAGACCGGGAAGGCCCCGGGAGCAGACCGGGAAGGCGTCGAACAATAACCGGGAAAGCGTCGAGCAATGACCGTGAAACCGGAGAAGACCGGGATGGCGTCGAGGGAAGACCGGGAAGGACCCGGGAGAAGACCGGGGTTTTCAAAGGAACAGGAGAGAGAGAGAGAGGGAGAGGGAGAGAAGAAGAGAGTGCGAGAGAGAGAGAGAAAGAGGAGAGAGAGAGAGAGAGAGAGAGAGGGGGGGAGAGAGTGCGGCCACGCACACTCTGCAAAAAGAAGGCAGCACACAAAGACGCCGGGGCCTGCGTATGCAAAGGCCCAGCACACCAACCCAGGGGAGCCAGCGCGTGCAAACGCACACGCCAAAGAGAAGCGGCAAGGAGAAAGCACAACAGGCAAGCACGCAAATCGTCACGGGTTGGTCCGCCCGTCTGGGCGAAAGGGTGTGAGGGCAGGCAAATCCCTCCCCGACACGCGCCGGGCCGTGACACCGCTCGCGGGAAACTGCACTTGAAAAGCAGAGAGCTGCATTTGCCATGGCCCTGTTTCAAGCACATTCTGCCGCTACGTTATCAGAGGCTTATCCTCCTTTCATGGCTAAAACCTCAAAGGCCCATAGCGCGTGCAAACGCACACGCCAACAAGATCGTCACAAAAGGGCAGGCAAATCCCTCCCCGACACGAAATCGCGGGAAACTCTTGAAAAGCCTGCATTTGCCATGGCCCTGTTTCAAGCACATTCTGCCGCTCCGGCTAAAACCTCAGGCAAGATGCACAAAACTCGGAAATGTCTTGGCCAGCTGGCGCCGACTGCCACCGGATGAGGCTGGCGCAGCTCCTACCAGCCCCCAGCACTGTGCTGGGAGTGGTTTTAACCATTGGCAAACCACAAGTCGTTTAGGGGGTCTTAGCATCTCCCAGCTTAAGGTATTGGTTCCACCAAATTGTTGATCTGTGGTTCATCTTGTTGATGTCCTGAGTTGGAAGGCATCAAACATGAAATCTGTATGACAATCGACGTGTAAGATCAAAAATTACAATGCATGCCACTGGCCATGTCACCCCAGTCGGCTCATCGAGTCACGCACAAAGACTCGTTTCAATCAAATTGTCTTTCTCAGATGTATGCTGTGACTGAATTGTTAGCTCTGGCTCGACATAAGGAATGGGAATGGAATGCCGATTTGTCTTGGCCACCCCCCCTTCTCCTCCGCTGGCGCCGAAAAGACTGCCACCGGATGAGGCTGGCGCAGAGCCCCCAGCACTGTGCTGGGAGTGGTTTTAACTGCTACCTTTTCCCAGGCGGGGACCCTGAGCTCAAGGGACCCATTGCATGACTGGGCACCTAAAAAACTGGACATGTCCAAATCTCAAAGGTGAATGTGCGCCTCCCCGTACCTTCCCAACTTCCCCACTGGCAATTTGACCTCCTCCGAAAAGGCTGCCGCCGCTGCTGCTGCCAGATCCTGGCAGCTTATCTATGCACATGTTGATCACCTTGCATGAGCAAGCCTGTCATGAGAGAAAAGCTATCACCATCGAGCCAAGCGTTGATTGCAAGAGCGGCATCCACCAGTCTAGCTGCACCTGTGCGTTAAATGTTGTCCAACCCTGCCAAGGTGTGTGAAGTCGTAGCAAAAGAGACGACAGTTGTCTAAAGCAACTGAAATCATGTGGAAGATGCAAGTCGAACAAAGTGTTTTTGCTTTCGTTGCCAAGGCAACTTGCAATATGCCACTGGCGAGAAGAACCAAAGCGAGGAACCATGAACCATTGAAATGCCCTGTACATGCTATCCGTTGCTCAAAGAACCTGAGATACCTGAGGAGGGGATGTCTTGGCAACCCCCCTACTCCTCCACTGGCGCCGAAAAGACTGCCACCGGATGAGGCTGGCGCTCCTAACAGTTCCCAGTGCTGTGCTGGGAGCGGTTTCAACCGGGAAACCACACTGATTGGTCGTTTAGGGGGTCTTAGCATCTCCCTGCTTGTCTTGGTTCTGCCAAATGTCTCCTCAAAGCTCGACGATCAAATCACAAAAGCCGCCGCCACCACCACCACCACCACGAAGACCACCACCACCACCACCCCCACCACCACCACCACCACCACCACCACCACCACCACCACCACCACCACCACCACCACCACCACCACCACAGCAACACCCTACCTTCGGACCCTTGCTGAACACTTCCTGTTGCAAAGAATGCGGCAGCTTGGCCAGTTTTGAAAGACAACCACCGCCACAACAACCACGACCACGACCACAACCACAAGCGAGAGCGAGAGCGAGAAAGAGAGAAAGAGAGAGATATAAAAAAAAGAGGGAAACAGAGACTTGCAGCATGCTGTGGCCCAACCCTTGCTTCCGCACACGTGTTTTAAGGCAGGCGCGCGCAAACTCCATTCAGTCAGTTCTTTCCCGCCCTCACGCGCCGCCAAAAGGGGTGGGCCCCGCCGCGGGGCCCCGCCCGCAAACTCACGCCCCGTCAAAGCCGGTGGGTCCCGCATGCGCAAACGCACGCCCCGCTAAGAAGGCGGGGCGGCCAGCTACCCAGGGGTGCAGACGCACACGCCGCCAAAGTGGGTAAACAGAGGGGCAAAAAGAAAGACCCAACAGGCAAGTATGCAAATAGTCCCGTGCGTGTTTGGGCGAAAGGGTGTGAGGGCAGCCAAATCCCTCCCCAGGTGCCCTGAGCCTACCGACACGCGCCGGGAGTTTCAAAGCGCAGGCCCGTTTCAAGCACACCCCGCCCTATCCCAACGCTTCGAGAATCGCGTGAGTCCTACACTACTTCATCGCACATGCAAAATACGACAAATAGAGCATTTGCTCGGCACTTTCTTGTTGCACACTTGTTTGATGCGAACCCAACTGCACCATTGAGTTTCCAAGTCTAGTTTACTTCCGGAATTCCAATCGCGCTGATTTCCTGGCAACTGGGCAAATGAGAATCAACACACAGCTTGCGCCAGCATCTGTAAGCATCACAAGCCCCGTGGTGCAAGCCAACCGTGCCACTTCAGATGCAGAAGTAGATGCTGGGTGCCTTGTGCTGCGCCAGTGCATGGACTTTGTTCTACTTGGAGCCAATGCAGAATTGATCGCACAAGTCATGCCACAACAAGGCTCCAGTATTTAGCTTCTTCAACGACATTCTAACAATGTAGAGGGACCACCGTCAAAAATCGCTTTTGCTGGATTTTGATGAGTAATCCTCATTTGCTAATGGTTGCCTGGTGTACCCAATATCATCACCTCTACTACTAGGCATCCCACGTGCAATTCACGCCATGCTGTTCCGTGTCCCATCCTTCTTGGGCCTTAGGGGTTGCCTGGCCCTGAAGACACGAGCGGCTTTCTCCATTCCTCCACGGTCATGATGGTTGTTTATGATACATCTTCGAGCCTGCTTGCCGCAGCCTCAATGTTTTTGTGTCTTGAAGTTTGGAGTTCTGCCGGCCCAGCCACATACTTCTGACAACTTGGTTGATTTGGTGTCCACCGCCGGCCAAGGGCGGGCCCAGTGTACCATGGCTTTCCCTGTACATGTTCCAAGACAGAGCCTGAAAAGAAACGACATGATCCTTGTCTGGCAAACAGGACATGTAACTGCAAAAGCTGGTCAACTCTGAAGCATGAACGAAACACGCGCTCAAAAACACTGGAGTCAATTTTGTGCGGCGTGCGTAAAACTGTCCGTTGCTCATAGAACCTCACATAACGAGCAACAAAGTGAAAAAAAGGAAACGTCTTGGCCACCCCCTCTACTCCTCCGCTGGCGCCGAAAAGACTGCCACCGGATGAGGCTGGCGCAGCTCCTACCAGCCCCCAGCGCTGCGCTGGGAGTGGTTTCAACCATTGGCAAACCACAATTGGTCGTTTAGGGGGTCTTAGCGTCTCCCGGCTTAAGGTATTGGTTCCACCATATTGTTGATCTGTGGTTCATCTTGTTGATGTCCTGAGCCAGAAGGCATGAAACATGAAATCTGTATGACCATCAACGTGTAAGATCGCAAATTACAATGCATGCCACTGGCCATATCACCCCAGTCGGCTTCCTAAGCATCGAGTCAATGACTCGTTCAAAAAGCCGCGGATTTCCGACATCCCCCATCGCGGTCAGAGGTTCATCATCGGGCCACATCACAACAGTTGGTCACTCAGCATGCTCATGACGTGCACCAGATGCACCACGCTATTTTCACGGACTCTGCGAAACCGCTAAGACTCGAAACTCAATCAAACAATTTGTTTTTCTCAATGTATGCGGTGACTGAATTGTTAGTCTGGCTCGACATAAGGAACGGGAATGGAATGCCAATTTGATAGCAAATGGTCCCGATGCTCTGCTACTTTTTCCCAGGCGGGGACCCTGGCTAAGGGACCCATTGCACTCCCTGACTGGGCACCTAACAAACTGGACATGTCCAAATCTTAAAGAGCTTGCACCCTCGCGATCCAGGTGTTGGCATTGAGGGTCTAAGCCGGACAGAACAATGTGCGCGTCCCCCTACCTTCCCAACTTCCCGACTGGCAATTTGGGCTCCTCCGAAAAGGCTGCCGCCGCTGCTGCTGCCAGATCCTGGCACACTCGCAGTCGCACTAGTGTTGGCAGTCTACTTTTTGTTTGGGGAGGACATGGAGGCCAACCCGCATTCCTGACAAGAACCAGGTTATGAGGGATGTTTCGTCCAGTTCAGAATATGATACTTCTTCGGTGGTGCGGCATGTTCGCCGTCTGCTCAGGCAGCAATTGCTCACAGTTGGAGACACGGGCATTTCAAGATTCATGGTTCCTCGCTTTGTTTTTTGTCGCCAATGTGCAAGATGCCTTGCCAACGAAAGCAAAAACACATTATGCCACTTGCATCTTCCCATGATTTCAATTGCTGTAGACTGTCGCCTCTTTTGCTACAAAGTCACACGCGTCTTGGCAGGGCTGGACAACATTTAACGCACAGGTGCAGCTACACTCGTGGATGCCGCTCTTGCAATCAATGCCTGCTTGGCTCGATGGTGATAGCTTTTCTCTCGTGACAGGCTTGCTCATGACAAGGCGATCAACATGTGCATAGATATACCGTTTTACATCATTCAGACAAGGGCGAACTAGGTTGCTATCCGGCAGGAAAAGTTTGATACATCGGCATGGTCTCCTGAAAACACCAGCGGGCTACCGCGCCTCCAAACAGGCCGCCGGCACCCGCAGCGCCCGCGCTGCCTGAGAGACATGGATTCGATTCTTAGACAGCCAGAGTAGTGGCGACAGCAAAAAAGATGGGGTGTCTCAAGTGTTCACAAAAGAGATGGGATTGCTCTGCACAACGGCTCAAGAAATCCAAGCACGAACACAAGCCACTACGATCTACCAACACGACAAAGGATTGCCTTGGATACAAATCCGCTCTATCAGTACTTTGTGATCTTGCAGGCTTCTCAGAACTGGCACAGGGTGCTCAAACAATCGACATACTTGCTGCGTTGCTGCTCCTGAGTGTCTCCACTTCGAGGGAATGAAAAAGCTTACCAACCTGAGATAGGGAGCTCCGGACGTCATCCAGGCAACGGGCTTGCATCAGAAATGAGACCTTGTCGCATGATGTTTGACCCCCTGGTACAGTGGCCAGCAAAGTTTCACCTAAATGTGTTTTGCCCCGTGGACCACTTGTTCAGCTGTTCCAAAGCGAAACCAAGGCAAACAACCTTTTGTGTCGAAGCGCACGAGGTTGGCCAAGGCAGCCCAACTGGATGCCCCGCCATGAACCCACCGCCTTTTCTATGGTACGCACCAAGATATGTGGTAAGGTAACCCCAAAGTTGAAACACTTCAAAGAGTTTGGCGGTCTCAGATGTGTTTCACGTGAGGGTACAAACTCACAGATGACAAAACCGAGCTTTGTGGTCTGGTCGCAAGTGCTGAAGAGGTGACATACGTATGTATGTAGGTACAGAGGCGTGGAGATAAGGAGGTGCATGGGTAGGTAGGTAGGTTGGTAGGTACATAAGTTCTGGGCGGTGCAAGCGGAAGGATGGGTTTTGAAATCTAGCCGACTCAAAACCGGCTTAACAGCGCGCACACACACACTCATAGGTGTTTGGATTTTATGAGAGCTTCATCACCATAAAGCTGCAAAACAAGATCGGAGGGTTGTTCGCCCCAAAAGATGGCTGTGCACAAAAATCCGGCCATTCGAAGCTGAAGCGCGTGGAGAACTAAGCTGGAAATGCACATCTGCCATGGAAGCCGCCAAGGAGAAGGCTCTGTTGCCCGTCGGCCGCTAACCACATTCAATCAGAAAATTATGAAGGAGTATGTGAATCAATGCTCCTATCAAAGCCCTCGGAAAACGCGGTAAGGAAAGTCTAAGGACTTGCCAGACAACCGGAAAACTGTATGGAAAAATAAAAACGCTTGAGTTCTCACTTTGGTAAAAGTTTTAGGCCCCCCCGCCTGCGCCGAAGAGGCCTCCAAGGCAGACAGGCTCAAGAGAAACTTGTCTCCCCTCCCACAGCATGTCATAGACATGATCTCAAACCTTTAACTGCGCCACAGCTTTCTGCATGCCTTATGGCAGTCTCCTGCACGGCTCGCTCGAGACATGCCATTGCCGTTGCTCCAGCAACGCCGGGAAAGAAACACGTGCAGCGGGTTGCACTTGCAATACCAAGGGCAACAGGGACTTGTTTCTGCCAAAGTACAACAGAGGAATGTGAGATTGTCACAGGCCGCACATCCGAGAAATCAAGCTGCACTCTAAGCGCGCCTCCGCCTCCGCCTCCGCTGCCTGCGAGAGATGCGGTGGGCATCTGACAGAATTGGCTGAGTTGTTGGGGCTAGTCCCGTGGGACAGCTTTGCCTGGATGTTTGTGTGGGAGATCTTCGGAGTGATGAAGCTGATTGGTGGGTTCTTTGTCAGTGGGCATTGTGGGAAGGTTAGCCATAGACCAAAACTCTTGTTGGAGGGCGTTTTTTCCCCTGCACAGGGTTCGTTCGAAATAAAGGGCAACATTGCAGAGCAAACGTTCACTCAAAAAAAAGGGCTAGATGAAAGGCGTCTTTTTTTTGTGTTTTAGAGCTATGGTTACCACAAAAGACAGTGGGCCAACGCGCTACGAACAAGGCACCTATTGATGTCGCTTAAAGGCGATGCCCATGATCTTCTGCCGGTAGTAGTACCAGTTGCTACGCAGATGTGCAAGGGATGGTTGGGAAAGTAAGGTTGTCCACAGCAGCTTTCCGGCTGAAGCCAATCAAAACCAGCTCATCGGCTTCTTCATGGGAAAAACGTTGTTTTTCGGAATCCTGGTCCGAGCCCTTCCAGCCAAACGATCCACTGTCCGTATGTGTGTAGCCCGACAAAAAATGGTTGATCCAGCGCTGTGGTGACAGTTCTCCTGCACTCGAAACGTGGCAGTTGAGGGACAAGTTATCCATGGCACGGCTGCAACCCTGGTGCTGAGGCAACACCTGCCAGCCTTGCCTGGTTGCAGTTTCCCGCGTTGGAAGAGACGAAATGTGGCGGGCTTTGGCCCAGCGAGCTGCAAAAGGAACCAACAAACAAGGGAACAAACCCACAGCCAACGGCCACTGAGCACCGGGCTTGGGCCGCTCACCCCGAACCAACACCAGCCAGGCCTCCGAAGAGGCCGCCGGCGGCTGCTCGCGCCTCGCTCGAACCAGAAACACGCCAAGATTAGGAGGGCTGAGTGGGGGGAGCAAAAAAACAGAATCCTGCCAAAGCGCCAAGCAAATTGATAGTGGATGGGAAGCTCTGAAGCCAAACATGGGAAACGCAGAGAAATTCGGAGAGGTCTGCTAGATCTCTGCCCCTGGAAGCTGATGAATTATCTGCGTTGGGTCAAATCTTTAGGTCGACCGACCAAGCCTCCGCCTCCAAACAGACTTGCTCGCTGGCGCCTTGCGGGCGCGCTAGAAGCACCCATGTGCCCAAGGCAAGATGTGTTCACGCCAGAAGTATGTCCCAAGTCTTCACAAGCAGTTGGAGGTCCCCGCGGGGCGCTTCCAACCAGCAGTGCTTCTCCTCCCCGAGGCTGGCATGTGGTTCTGGCTGCTGAGGGAACAAACAAAAAATGGTTTTGCGTGCCGCATCACTCTATGTTGTCCTCCTCAAAACAAAAAGTGAGATGCTGCCTGGCGGTTGATAGATTCCACTTGATGGATTGTTGTGTTCTGCCTGTCAATGGTAGAGTGGGGTGGGTGACTGAAGGTGCAAAACTCGGGCTGGAAGAATTGTTCTGCCCTTCAGACCCTGACAATGCCAGGCCGTGTTTGCCGTGTCACTTATGCCCACCAGCTGTTGGTAATTGAGATCGGAGCATGCTTCGAATGTTCATAATCTACCCCAGAAGAAGTACAATGACCCTCTTTTACGACCCTGGCCAAAATGGCTCAAAGAATTGTGACGAGCACCTCCCACATCTGAAGCTGCCCTGCCTGCCCACCAGAGGGAGGGCTCGGGGAAGATGGTGCACGGGGGTCAAGTCTCAGAATGATGGATCCGTTTTGAGGTGATGAAATGCAGTAGACAGCCCAAAGCCACCTGCATCGAAACTTGTGTGCAGCGCAGGCTTTCAGCCAACACCGGCATTACTCCATCCGCATCCGTCCAATTTTTGGGCTATGTTCCACTGCAAGCACAAGCTTCCAGAAGTGTCTCAAAAATACAACGTTGGCATTTGGAAAGAGTCGAAGTTGTTCACGCAAAAAACTGCATTGGAAATCCACAATTATGGTGCGTGAACAAAGTTCCAGGATCGGGAGAAGAAAGGAAACGGTAGGCGGCTTGCCTGGGCGAGAATCAAACACCATGCAATTTTCCTCGTGGTCTGCACCAAGGTCAGAAAAAGTGATTTCCATCATTGAAGGTTCAACACACCTGTAACAAAGAGATCATAACTGCAGCGAATGTGTTTTATCAAAATGCAATGTTGCAACATTTTTCAGAGAAGAATGGTAACTTAGTGAATCTATCCATGAACTGCAAACGCGCAGCGGTGTTTTTGCACGATGCTTGCGCAATCTTCCAGAAACACGAGGGAAATGCAATCTGAAGACGGAGCAAGACATTTCGCGTGAGACCCCATGTGAGCGCTGTGGTCTTTCATGTTGGTGTCCCAACCCTGAAGCTAGGCCTCCCGCGCTCCGAAGAGCCCGCCTCCTGCACGCTTTCGCCATAAAAAGCACCTCAAATCCTTCACAATTCGTTGACACACGAAATTGATTATTATTCTTGGCTAAGCATTGTAAGATTGCAGGTGCTGGTTATTGGATAGGAATGAATAAGTCTACAAATCTAGCTGTACTGTCCGCCTCTGATATAATGAGGTGCGCCGGAGCAGCCCGAAAACATATGATAAGAAATTGTTAGGCTTCGTCCACAGGCTAAATGTAAGTGAAGTGTAACCATAGGTGGTCAGAACGATGACATTGTCCACTATTGTCCACTTCTCTCTTTAAAACCGACAATTGGAAATTCAGAACCTTCCATTTGCCCTTCTAAAACTTGCATGGCTTGTTTTTTGTTTTGGGAGGGAAAAAAAAAAGGTTGGAAACATCGCCCT